GAGAGAGAGAGAGAGAGAGAGAGAGAGAGAGAGAGAGAGAGAGAGAGAAACCTTGAGCATGTCACTCTTCTTTTCTCGTGAGGCACCGGAGACCTATCGATAAACCTCGCGCCCACCTAGCCGGTAACTTGCTTTTCAATCACTGGATATTCAGGTGGGAGCACTTGTATGACGAAGCAACGGGAAAGCTCCGGTACTTCGACCCGAAAACAGGTATTTGTCTTCTTGGTTACGATGCACGGCGCAACATATGTAGCACGGGCTGGTGCATTAGTGTGCCCCGGCAAACTAAATGCACATGGTTGGTCAAATTTCTGTGCCCTCGAACAACGTACGCCAAGGTGTTGCTACTGCCGACCCGTTGTTTCTCCTGACCCGCACGAGTGTATCTGCTTGTCTCCTCCTCGGCCGCCTTGCATCAGTTGTCGCCGGCATCGTTAAGATCGACACATGTGTTCCGCAGAGCACGAACCGCACATGCCGCAACATAACCGTCCACAGCAACAACTAACTAGGGTGGGTGCCTACTTTCCCTGCCTTTGTCCCTATATATGTTCCCGGTGCCCACATTGATACATTGTGTTGCCAAATACGCACCTGTCAGGGGACCTTGTTGTCGCAATGGAAGATGCAGCGAGGTGGACGATGGAGCAAGACGACGCCGGTGACGTCATATTTGTCCACCGAGAAACACAGGTTTGCCTACATAGTACACGGGCTTGAGAGTTTCGCGTCCGCAACCAACGTCGACTGCCACACGGCTGAACTCACAAACGTTTTCCATTCTTTTGGCACCCATCTTTTCCCCGGTCGGCCGCACCCCATTTCGGACACCAATACATGCACCGGTGTATGCGACAATATTGTAGTGATGGCGTCATACCGCCCTTGTTCGTTGATCCTCATCGTTTGATTGATCGCCGCATCATAGTAAATATGAAAACGGCCGACCTTTCGTGCGGTGCTCGCCAAACCATGAAACGCACACGCATTGTTGCACCTCCTAGGAGCCCACCCCAAAAGCGTTCTATATTCACGTACGTACCGTTCATGTGGTTTTACGAATATATACCAGGAAGTGGTATACGACGACCCTCGGTTCGAAGATGGCCGAAAGAAGGAAAGAGCAAGGGCCAAAATGCAGTGCTTGGAAGACACCAGGTGCTGCTCCGGTTCGTCCAGGATTAGCGGCTTGTACCCGACCACAACACCCCGAAACACGCGTTGATCGGTTGATCGCGTACATCAGAGATGCGGTACCAGAGAATGTACCTGCACGCTCTACCAGAAGTTGTGGCGCGATGAAATGCTTGTACCGTGGTTTGACGATACGGTATTCCGCGTTTTTTGTACGGTTTGACGATGCAACGCTCCGCCTCGGCAGGTTTGCCCGATACTTTTGCGACCAGCTTTGCGATCGGTATCGTATGTACGAAGAAGGTCAATTGGATGCCAAGGTACGATGAGGATGCGATGCGATAAGATACAGCGGTAGCTCGTGTTCCTGTTCGCGAAGCAATGCACCACTGGCCAACGTAGACAGGAAGCGCTAGTTCTTAAGATTTTTGGGGTTGTGGATGTCAAAAAAAAGAGGATGCGAGCAACGGCAATGAGCTGCCCATCAATAATTCGGAGTGTTCATTCATCGCAACGCTTGGTTGGCTGGATTTGTTCGCGTCATTGTGCGCGACGTTGCAGGGGAAGAGGCTACTCTTGGAGGCCTTGGCTTCAGGGGACAGTGCCCTTAAGATGTCGTCAGCCGTCGCTTCGGCACGAACGGTGTTCCGCGAGAGGGAACTTCAGGAGAATGCCGAGCTGCAGGTGATAGGGAACAACCTTGCAACTTCGCGCCAATCGCCGAAAACGCTGAGCTCGTGCGGATCGAGGTGGTCTCAATAAATCACTTTCCGCATCGGGGTCTCTCAATTTCGTCGTGCGTGATGGTGCAACGATAAGTTCGGCGTGTTGGGCTGCACCAACAGTGGCAGTTTCAAGAGCTTTTTTGGTGATAATGAAGCATCGCATGCGTGGTTTCGACCGTTCCACCGAGAACCTGAAAACTAGTTCGCGGAGGTTGGGTGCCACAAGACGATGCGTGCTGTAGATAGACTGCAGATCGAGCGTCGTCAGGCCCCATCGCTTGTCAACATTGATGATATCGTTTCATCACGACTTTGGTAACCACACGGACCTGTCTGACATCTTGTTCGACGTCCGCGCGCGGGTGCCCTGCCGTTCGCGAAACGGTGACACGGTCTAGGCGGCGATATCGTTGGGCAAGTACATGCAGGAGCTGAAGGTGTGGGCTCAGGAGGAGATGGACGCTTCCGTTTCGCAAAAGGCTCGTTACCTCAAGGGCGGCTCGGAGTCTTCCAAAGGTGAGAAGAAACCGTTGCTGAAGCGCACGCGCCAACCCAATTGGCCACGTGGCTAACACAGCGCTCGCGTTTAAGTCCTGAATGTATGACGATTCGACAAGAGTACTGTACCTTTGCTGCCGCAAGACGAGCAAAATCACAGTTGAGGCAGAATGGTGTTGTTTAGTGCATGTTTTGTAGACTCTGGTCGTTTGTTTGCTCTCAAGCAGCATGGTCTTCGCCTGTGTTTCATCAAACGACCCCGGCAAGTGCTTGGCATCTCCGGTAGACTCCCTCTCAAGCCTGATGTCTAGACTACATGAGATTGCCAAAATGGCCAGAAACAATATGGCGGAGTATATTGGCATCTCTCGCGCGTCCTACCTCCAACAACGAAGCCCTTATCCGCTGGCCCGATCCGGAGGCAGGCGGCAGATCTTCTACGTCGTCCCGTGTAGGACTGCTGCAGATGCAAGATCAAGACCAGACAGATTTCTCCGCATCCGTCGACGAGAATTTGGAGTGGCACCCCAGCACAAACAACGGCAGCACGACACAAGATGACACGGCCGACGAGTACAACAGACAATACATGCGGGGAGGAGAGTACGGGGAACAGTACGTCGTGCAAGCTTACAATCAGGCGGCAGTGAACGACGAATACACCGGTCAAGACGGCTATGCCCAACAAGAACAACCTCGGGAGGATCACGGCCATTATAAATAATAGTCTCAATGGCGAGCGGTCTGCTCTTCTTTCACGTTGATCATCATCATGAATCAGAGAGCTTTACCTCGCGGCCATGATAGGGTGAACAATTTTGCCGTCATCGCTGTATCTATCGCCGTAACAGCGCCAGGAATGCGCGCGTTTCTGTGTTGCGTTGGTTGGTCCTCATGAGGTGCACAGAACGAGGCTTAGGCTCAACGGCGGTCGCCGACGGCTAGGTTTGTTTTCCCTTTAAATATCCTGTAGACAGATACGCCATGTAGCCCAGACACTGTTTCAACAAGTTAACGGATACGATTGTTCTATTCTACGACGTGATACGTTTTGTTTATTTATTTCTCGTTGGCTGCTCCCTCCCCCGTCGCAAAGAATGGAATTGAACGGGTTTGGTTTCTACATCTTTTTTTTGCTGAGCTGAAACAAGCTTGCTTGTTCACGGGTAAAAGGAAATAAATTAGAATTTCGAGTGCTTCATTATTGCTTGAACATGCATAATATGACAGAAAGTTTACCCCATCGATCTCAAGGGGATGCGCTGGGCGAAGAAGTCCCTTTGGTTGACTCGCAAAGCGGCGTCAATGTTAGTATATGTTTCGTTGACCCTGGATACTTTCGTCGCAGAACAAAACAAGTACATACCTACACACATGCTACCCACCGGTTGTTCCCAATGCGCGTGTCTGTTGATGAAGATTGTGTTCAAGCGCATCGAAAACGGGAGTAGCCCTGCACAATAACCGGTAAACACCGCAAGCAGAGCGGTACATATGATCGATAGCGACCGGGAAAAAATGCGCGAAAACTGCTGCGATCTTTTTCCATGTTCAAAGAAGATCACCGATCTACGAGTACATCCGTTTACTGTCTCGAGCGGGAGTGTTACCTTGACGTAGACTATTGCATGTATCGTTAGAATCAACGGGATCAGCAGTGGCAAACCATAACCATTGTACCAGACCACCCTACGACATATGACGTTTGTAATAAGTTCGAGTTGAGTGCGCCCGCTGTGCTGTAACGGCCGGCCCCAGCTCGGTGATACTCTGGAACCCCCCCCCCCCCC